CAACACCGAGGTTTGCAATCCCGTTGCCGGTCCCTGGTCCGGTACGGGGGCAACACTGAGGGTTGCGATCCGTTGCCGGACACGGAAAAAACAGACAAAAGACAAAAAAAAAAAAATAAATAAAAATAAAAAAAAAAATAAATAAATAAAAAAGTTCTTAACACCCGGTTGTCCTTTTTAGATATTGGCAACAAACATTTTCTACTGTTCCAAGCCACCAGATACATGGTCATATTTGAATAAGAATTGCTAGAGTAAGAAGGTTTGGTAGCAGTCCAGGCAGCAATAAACCACACTTTTCTCTTGAACCCCTAATCTCCTCCATACTCAGTGTAATTACAGATATCTCACAGCTGATTGGAAACCTGGGCAGAAAGAACAAACCAGAACTCATTCACTTCAGTTCACTGGAACTAAAGAATTTTCCCTCAGTGCTCAGTGGCTAGTGCTGTCCGGTGTTACTGGAACCCAACAGATACAGATGAACTCACTGAAAGAGAAGTCATGACTCTGAACAGATCTCATCCTCCAATAGTCCTCTCTGTCCTAAATTCCCATAGAGTAAGTCAAGCCTCAGAAAGCTTCATGTAACATGAAAATTGTGCCTCTAATTAGGGACAAAAAGACCTTAGTCACCTTCATGAACAGGTTGCTGAAGACCCATTAGACCCAGAGATAGTCTTGACTACTACTTTACCCAAACTTCTGGATTAACTGAAGCTTCACCTACAAATCTCAAAACCTGAAAACAGCAGGCCTCACTGAAGAAACAGTCCATCTCCAAGAGGGGCAAATCCAACTCATCAAAATGGTGAAAAACTGATAAGCCACAGCACTGGATGCTCAGTGCAATGGTCCTAACTTCAAGTGGTACCATGAGCGATAGTGCACTGTCCTGAGACTAAGATTTACCTGACCAGACTAATCGGTCAACTTCTAACTGAACTGTCATGCCACTGGCCCATGCAGGACTGGAATATTGAATCAGATACAATACTAAACTGTGAACTCAGTCTTTATGTTTGGTCTACATGCTCAAATGAAGTGACCACATCTTAAAGAAAGTGTCTGGCTTAAGAAAGTTGATGAAGGTTGTTCAGCCAACATTTCCACTTAAGCCTGCTTGATCGATGCTCAAAAGAATTTGTGGAACTGCTATAAAGGACTGGAATATCTGGCAAGAAATCCTTTTCATTCATGCAGAAGTCACTGTTACCCACAAGGCCTGTACAATTTGTCAACATGCCAGACTCTGGATAAAGACCCCTTCCAAGCTCTTCAGGTGTCCTCGGTTATGGTAAGTTACAGACAGCCATGTCACTCCCTCCTCCATGGTTGAGGTGCTCTGGTATTGAGGAATCAGTGGGTGGTGAAGAAGAGATTTTGAGGAGGACTAGCATACTTCTCCCTCTTTTCTTGAATAGTACTCATTTGAAAAGAACATTATATTCCTCTCTTTTCTTCTTCATGCCTGGCTTGACCTCAGCAGATGGATAGACAGTTCATATTGTTTTGATTGAAGACACCTGAGCAGACATGAATTTGGACCCTAACTTTTCCTTGAATGGATCTATGGCTACCCTCTTCTATCCTCAGAAGTCACTCATGATTGCAAAGTGGTGACTCCTACATTCTTGTGGAAATCATCATCAGTGCAATTGTCTGTTTCATCCTGCAGGGGAAACTGAGGAATTGTTCCACATAGAAGGTGGATCTAGAGATATGAAAACTAAATACAATAAGTGACCTTGGATTGGATTCTGGTCAGAAAAAGAAAGGGTGATTATAAAGGCCATTGTTGGGCCGGCCCGGTGGCGCACTGGATAAGTGCGCCGCTTGGGAAGCGCAGCGGCGCTCCCGCCCAAGGGTTCGGATCCCACATACAGACCGGTTCCCGCTCACTGGCTGAGCGAGGTGCGGGAGCAACACCAAGGGTTGCGATCCCGTTGCCGGTCTCCGGTCCGGTACGGGGGCAACACTGAGGGTTGCGATCCGTTGCCGGACACGGAAAAAGACAAAAGACAAAAAAAAATAAATAAATAAAAAATAAAAAATAAATAAAGGCCATTGTTGGAGCAATGAGGAATATTTGAGTGGAGGCTGTATAGGCAGCAGTGCTGTATCAATGCTGACTGGCTGGTATTGGTGAGCATACTTCACTTTTTCAGCAGAGTGTCCTTGTTTTTTTTTTTTAAAAAAAAGATGACCGGTAAGGGGATCCTAACCCTTGACTTGATGTTGTCAGCACCACGCTCACCCAGTGAGCCAACCGGCAATCCCTACATGGAATCCAAACCCGTGGCCTCGGTGCCATCAGCACCGCACTCTCCTGAGTGAGCCACGGGCCGGCCCAGAGTGTCCTTGTTTTTTAGGAAACGCACATTGACATGCTGAGGGTTAATGGGCATCATGTTTTCCACCTACTCTCAAATGATTCAAAATTATAATGGAAAAATGGTAAAAAGTCAACAATTAAACTGTTAACTATTAAAATGTTAACTAAATGGAGGAATCCAGACGAAAAGTATAAAGAAATTATTTGTACTATTCGTACAACTTATCTGTAAGTTAGAAAATATTGGAAAATAAAAAGATTTTTTAAAAAAATGAATAAACGACCTGTTTCTGTTCCAAGGTTTAATGATTGCTGTTATATTTTAATGTTCCTACTCCTCTGGCCTTGTTTTAAGTCACTGCTCTTTCTTGTTTCCTGTCCATGTAGCCTTGTCATATGCTGAGACCAAAAAAGGGGGGGGGGGCCTTAAAATGAACTTGTTGGCGTGCCAGTCAGAGGAAAGTGGGTGTCTGTGTGTCTGTGTTTAAGCAGGGGGCAAACAATGGATTTGTTCATGTACTGGCAGCATATAGTATCCACAGACACAAGGGTCACTTGGGAATCTTCTCAGTATT